ATCGCATGAGCCGGAAGCGCATTATATTTAGTTGGAGGCAGTAAATTAAATCGCTAATGGTAATGCAGAGTATTGAGAAATTATCCAGCAAATTACACCCCAGTTTTGGTCGGTAAACGTTCTCACAGGAGCAACACCTCACTAGTTTAACCCGGCCACAAGTTTTGGGGAAAACCGCGTAAATTTAGTCTTGTACGCGCAATAAATATAAACGTTTTGAAGCCAGGGGATGGCAGACGGGTTGAGACCTTATCAAAGCAACCTTCTCATCCCCCGTCCAAAACTCTATATAGATTTATAATTCCATTGTTAGTTTCCTGGCATACGTTATCTTTGCTACGGCAATAAATCAATTAACATTCTAGTCTGACTGCAGATAAAAGTGAAAACAAAAGAGCGTCGAGCAACAATGGATACATTTTCTACCCCGAAACACACACACACAGAGAAACACACAGCACAATGCCGTTCTTAGTAAATTTATATTCTTCTTATGCAACTGCATTTAAATTTCAACACAATTCGGTCCACTAATTTATGGTCGCGTAATAGCGGTTAAATGTAAATACGGGCTTACCGCGAAAAACGGGAGTACGAAGATAAAGATGATGCACGGTGGTTGCTGCATTTTGCTCGCAAATTATGTAAGTGATTATATACTGGAGGGAGGCGCAAATGAGTTCGTACGACAGCGATTACATAAACGAACAGGTTTGTCTTCGACGGTTACGTTCTTGAATATTTCCTGCAATTAGGATCATATGGATCCAATCGGTAGAGCGGTAGAGAGAAGCACGAAATTATGTGTCAAAATATTCGAGCATTTGGAATGAGTTATCAAAATCCTAGATCTTCCTGAAATCCATAGTTATTACTAGCATATTATTATTAGCACCTCTTCTGAGGACAACTATCTTTTAAAAAAAAAATTCTTTCAATGAGATTTATTATTTGTTGGAAAACATGTTTTCTATATGAATCAGTAGATTTTATCAAATAACTCAGAAAATATATTTTCTTGTAAATAATTACGTTAATTAAAATTTTGAAATAACCTTTTTTTACATAAAACAATAATACAAATTATTCCAAATCATATTCTATTTTCATACTTATGTATGAAAATGCTGTATATAAATAATAGTATGTTGTAAATAAATATATGTAAAGACTTAAATTGTGAAGACATCTTTTAGTTGTTACAGGTTCCGATGCTACACGTTATCCTTAAGCCGATTATATACTTGGCCAGTACCTAGGATGCCCGTCTCGTATCTACAGCAACAATTCGATTATAATTACAGTAATACCTCGCATAGTCCGGGTAATCTGTTCCGCCAATATCCAGGACTATTTTAAACCGGAGGAATCAAGGAAATAAATACAAACAAAAAAGAATAGAGAATTGAATGTTTATACGGAAAAACTGATCATTTCTGTAGAAAAAAAAGTTATGTTCTAATATTTGAGAATTTGTTTTTATCTTGTTCAATTAAAATTTAAATAAAAAAAAAATATTAGCAACATATAGAATATATTCGAATATCATCCAAATTTTATCGTGACAATTATATAATTAAACAAAATTCAAAGTGATAAAAATATTATTAAGTAATATATTTCTTAAAGGTAATATAACTTTGGAATTATCAATCTGAATTTATTTTTAATTAATTTTATCTGAGTATTGCAATTATAGTCAAATTTATTGGCAACATATGTAGCAATTATAATCCAACAACAACAATTATCGACAGAATTAATTTAGTGCGATTATTCATATAGTTGTGAGGTAGGGTCAGTGCCCCAAAATCTCGTAATAAGGGGGGAGTATGTTTTAGGGAGCGGAGGCAATTATAAATTTGTTTAGGGCCCTCAAATAATAAATGTAACTAGTGTCTAGTGCCCACAACTTCTTACTGTGGCCCTCCGAGAACCGACAATCCCTCCAATGCTGATTAGGGCTCTATGATTTTCTCTATTTTAAATCAAGGGAGGCCTCACATAAAAATTTGACTGGAACCATCATATTTGTCTCAATACTTTAAAAAAAATCTCGAGCGTTTTAGGGGTCCTTTTTTCAATATTTGAATACTACATTTTACTTAGGAAGTAGCACGTAATGTGCGGGTTTTAGTGAAATCCTAATTAATTTAATGATAAAATTTTGACGAGACTATAATTAATTGCATCGGAGCGAAATAAAAGGAAAATGACACACTCGAACTACCTTCATGGTATATAGTTTCCCGTTTTAATTAAAGTCGCTGTTTTTAGCCGTCGCTCGTAAAACGCGAGAATATTAAAGTTGACACATGAATACGTCACACACCTGGATAATTTCACTTTGTTTTCGATGGACGTACCTATTAATCGTAATCAAATTAGCTTTTCTATCGGGTCCGGCTGACTCTCTTTCCCCTTTTTGTCGCAAAAGCCAGCAAATAAAATTCACGTAACTGATTCAATTAGATTTTGATGGATGCACTCCGCAAAACTTGTTTATATATTTCAATTTCATTCCGCACCGGATAAAAGCAATTGTTGATGTGTGAGTTAAACGAAGTTTTCAGAAACTTTACTTCCAAACGTATTTACGAACTTCTGAATGTTATTCGCCCTAGGTGCAAAACATCCGATTGCCAATTATTGATGAAATATTCAACCACACTACCCGCACTTTCAAACAGGCACATATTGAATAAGTAATGTAATTTTGTATATATCAAATTTATAAAATATATGTATAAAAATAATTTTATTTAAAACAACTAAAAAACTTTAATTATTATTAATAATAAACTTAACAAATAATATGCAAAGAATTTATTTAGAAAATAATTAATCTTCAAATATGATACTTTATTATTTTATGAAGTAATAATAACAAGAATCTTATTGATACTTCAATATAGTATTTACAATTCTTAAATTATTAAAAATAATCTTCTGTAATTGATCAATTTCTATACAACTTTGAAATTAGAGTTATGATAAATTTACCAAATTTCTCAACTTAAATGTTGAGATTATTTAGCTTTGTTGTATTTGATGTATTTTCATATAAAATAAGTTTTATAAATTTTACTGAATTTTCACAACACAAAAACAGCATTAACTGGATTCATTATAATCCAGTTTAATCTTTCAAATCATTTTAATTAAGAGAAATAAAAATAAATTCTATAAATATTGGCACAAAAATGATTGTATTATGCATATTATTCTATGTATGTTATTCCTTGATTAATCCAGTTTTGACCTGGTTGTTTGACTGCGCGCTTTTATCCTGCTCGCTTTTGTCAAGGCTCTATTAATAGGATACCAAAAGTATATTTTAAATCTAAAGATTATTTTTTTAATTGAATGTATATTTATATTGATAATTTAAATAAAAAAGTAAGTGTTAAATCGCCGAGTATTATAAAATAGTTATAATGAAGTAGTGGCTTTAAAGTTTTGTGGCGCGAAACTTTATAAGATTCTGTAGCAAAAATGAGATTTACGAGGAAGTTAAAAAGTGGTATTCATATATTACGACTGGAGATAAGTGAAGAGGCAAAGGTGCAAAGGATTCCATCCCAAACTAGATATAATATATTCAGAGTGGTTGGTGCATTCTCATTTTGTGCACGCCGTTGTATAATCCCATTAGCCCTGGAATTCCAGTATCATATTGCCTTGAATTCCTCCCACATTTATTCTCCCTTATTTTTCGGGGCGCATCTAGTTAATGCATTAATTCGCGAGTAGCACATTAAATTAAATTTATCCATCGGTATATGCGGTGGAGAGATGTATCAAATAAAACGCATTTCTGTGTTGAAACACGTTCCACTTTCTTCCATTCAATTTTACCGATGGATATATATGAGAGTACACAACACTGGATTTGTATTTATTTAGAGAATGGAAAACGACATTTTCTCAGCAAATGCATTTATAAAAGTAATCAATCTGTCCTCCAGCGCAAACATCGCCAATATCATTATGTTTCGTAACAAGCTGAACAATGAATACCTTTGTAAAAACTGTCTTTTATGTAATTCTGTTAATGAAATATTAAACTGGAGAAAGCGCAGAGGGGCTTTAAATTTTGCGTCTGTTTATCTTGAATTCGATTCGTTTCAGTAGGAAACGCTGAATTACACGTGCATTATGTATCCAGTTGCAGCAACACAAACTACCACTTTCATTATTCAATATGTTCACAAAACGTGGATGAAGCAAAGAAAAAAATAAAACTCTGCTGAAACGTTATCAAATTGCGTCTGGTTTTTAATGTGAGGCTGCAGTGCAGAGCTGCATTAACTAAATTCGCCAAATAATGTTTGGGAAATTATTCATGATGAAAGTTAGTCCGTTTTATCTTTTTGAACGTAAAGCAGAATTTTCTAAATATAAACACATTTTGTAATAGGAAAAGTTTATAATTTAATATGTACTTCCCATCTATCGACTCTAATGGACCGTTTACGATTATTTACCAGATTTACGCAGTGTTTTGAAACATCCCTAGTTTTAGTTAGTAAAACCTTTTAAACTTATTTTGCCAATAAAGTTACAATTTTGTTTGCTTATCTAAAAGTTTATTATACAGCAGAATCGCTTATTTTAATGGCATTATAATTTTTTACAAAATAATGCTATTAAAATTTCAAATATAAATAAATTTTACAGTTTTTTTCTTTTCTCTTGAGATTTTGATATTTATCATAGTCGAATATGTTATTCAATCCAATTGCAATTTTAATTGCGCAATTATATAATTATTTAAAAATTTGTAGTTGATATTATTGGAACATCTTAGTAATGAAACTTTACTTGAAAATGACACAAATAACGATTTTTTTTAAATATATTTACAGCTGATATCATATATAAGGACCGAAAGACCTTTGCAGCAAATCAATTTGGTTTTAATTTTCTTATTATGTTAGTTTTTTGAGTTATATTATGGTAATTGGTTGCAATATATATTATTATTATTATTGTCATCATCATCATTATAATTGAATTTCTTAACTTATTATACTTACGAATATTTGTTTATAATTGAACTGTAATGAAAATGTAGAATCTAATATGTTGGTTCTCGGAAAATGTATGCTTTTCGGATGATTATGATCATTTATAATGAGGATCACTTTTTAATTAAAGGTTATTATTTCATTAAAGGTTATTATTTCATTAAAAAAAACTTGTGATATAAAAGAAATATAAATATATCTGGATGTGCTAAAAATTATCAAAACAAACTAAATATTAATTCAGCAAAACAAAAATAATTGTATTTAGTTCTTTGATTAGTTAGGTTTCAGAAAGTCCCGGATATTGGGTAAACCTATTACCAGGACTATGCAAGATATTGCTGTATTGATTATATACAGTTTATCTTTGGTCAGGGAAGTTACATCAAACTTTTTTATTTGCCAAGTGATGATGGATTGGGAAGTTATGATGTATTTATTGAAAGGCTTGTTTGTGGATTTAGTGCTGAGATATTTCAGACGTATTAGGATTGATGTGATATTTGAACCTTCCCGAAGACAAGTATTTAAGTGAATATATGTGTTTTTTTCTATTACCAAAGTTATTTGTCAAACTTTGTCGTAACTAAATATACATTGAAATCCATTAGCAATCAATAGTATTTATAAAAAAATGGCTTTAAAACATTTTTTTGTAATAAAGTTATAATTTTGTGTTTTAAAATTTTGTTAACAATTAGATTTATTTAAAATACAAATGTTTATTATTTTATTTGAATACTGTATTTCTCTGTGAAAATTGTCAAATGAAATAAATCAAAGAGAAAATAACTTTAAAAACGTATATAAAATATAATGTATAAAATCACATTTATAAATGCGTTTCGAGCAATGCATTTGGATAGCTCCATTTTTATTTTATATTTGGAAATTTACATTTTACGCCCGGAACGTTAAATAAATACATTAAAAGCGAATAAACAGAAATATGTTAGAAAGATATGCAATATTTATAGATCTGTCTTGGGGCTCGAAACTCTATGGAACTTGATATATTATAGCAGATATATTATGCCGGGACCCATTCATAAACCGATGATAAATGAAGTTGACTTTCGCATTTGTATGCAGCCTCGCTTACAAATATCAAAAACTAAATAATTATTATAAAATACAGATATGTACTCGAAACGAAAATAAAAAGAAATTTTGATTTCTATACAGTATATGATGATTAATAACAAGATAATTATGTTTTAATTGATGAAAATGTAGAATAATTATTTTGAAAACAAATAATTTTAAATCAAATTACAAAGGAAATACAAATCCTATAATTATTGATGAAGCTAGTTTTGTACTGAAATATAGTTTCAATTATGTAACCTAAATATATTAACTAATTACAATCAGTCAACAAGGTTCAAAATGAACAAAATAATTAATTATAAAGTATGGAATTATCGATGTGTACATTTATTATATATAATCAAATTTATTTCAACAAATATTTATTAATAAATATTATTTTAATTAATATATCTGTAAAAGGGCGACTAATAGCGAGTGGTTAAGTCGCCCTACCCACTTTCAAACCACGGTTCGAATCCTGGTCAAGCCAGGCCCTTTGTGAGCCCTCTCAGTGCTTGCAGCAATACGGCCATAGTTCATCACAGATGGACATTCAAATGAATGAGGTTCAGCATATGGACCTTCAGCCAAGTCAATGGACAATGACAGTGTTAAGGATAGCCACAGATTCGCAGTCAAAGGAAATAGTGGAATTGCAGTCCATCAATATACTAGTGAAGTTAAGCTACAAGACCACAGCCAACCAACAAATTAAAATCAAAATCATCATAATGATAACTATCCACCGGGAAAAGATTATCCATGTCAACCGCGATCTTAAATTTACTCAATGTTCACATTGATGAACAGATTGTGAATAAAATTATATGACAAAAAAAAATATCTGTAAATATGTATGTAAAATATAAATATATTATAAAGTTATGTAACTAAATTTTATTACGTATCCAATTCTTGTCAATTAGATTTTTTTTAAATATACAGTCATATATTGGTTAATGTTATCTCTAAGAACGAAGCTTCGATATAACGAAGTACGCAATTTAAAGCTTCGTTTAACACCAAATATATTTCTATTAAAAGCCAACGCCCAACAATCATACGAACAAAACAGTACTAACAAAATTTATACTAGATAAAAATAACATCCAAGAAGTTCTAAATGAAGTAATCTTCAATTAATGGGTTTAGTAAATGTCGACGAAGAGGTTGTTAGAAATTTATTGATGATGGTTTTTCTGTAGAAGAATGTCTCAATCAGTAGATTTCGATAATGTCGACGAAGAGAATGTTACAAATTTATTGATGAAGGTTTCTCTATGGAAATGATGACGAAATTAAAAAAAAAACGCCGAAAATATGTTAACAATTAAAAATTTAAAGATATGCTTAAAAGAAATTGAAAACATTATTTTGCTAAAAATGATCCGCAATTAGTAAAATGTTTTATTGTTAATTAAATGACAATTATTAAATTAAAGACAAAAAAGGACAAACAATCAAATATGTTACACTGTGTTGTAGACTGTATAATTAATAAATGCTTTTCATTTTCTTTACGAAGAAATGTATCCCAATTTTCACTATAGTATTTTTATATTGTTTAACAAAATAAATTAGTCCAACGCATTCTCTTCGTTAAGAGAGGTACGACTGTATAATTACAGGACTATTTCAATAATAATTATGTTTATTATATTTAAACAAATATATTAGCCAGAATATGTCGAAGGTTTTTGCAACCAAAATAATAAATAATTTGAATACAACAAAGGGATAAATTAATGGATTTCAATTTAAACATGACTTAGGACTTTTCATGTATTAAGTGCAATTAGTTTAGTGTCCATATGCATATGTGTTGTCAAAGGCCATTTGTGTGTCGATTAAGTTATGTTATTGTATATTCAACCGCATTCGATTAAGTCAACCAGAACAATCGTAATATTATAGCAAACATGTTGGACGTAATCAACTCAATTAATTTCGGAATTCAAATCGTGTAAAAGATTTCCTTTCAATATGAAAATTTCTAATTAATATGTAAATGAAACGGAAACACGGAAAGGAATATAAAGAAAATAATAATCAGAAAATAACTAAACGAAGACAATTTTCCACCTGTCCAGTTTCGTGAAGGAAATTATTAAGTCGAGCCCTACGTTCCCTCCTCCCACCCCTAAACAAACAACATCCCACTTCATTGATTGATTCCCAAGGCTTCAACAGACTCTATAATTAATGTGGTCTAAAGTTATGCGATTAATTAACTGGGCAAGCTTGTGTTTGAAATAATTTACTTGCTTTTCAATTGACCTTTGGGCGATTGTGTTCCCGAGGTATCGAGGTTACCTTTGACAGTGAGATGCATCGTCTTTTGTTCGCTGCCAGAGCTGCACGTGTAGTTTCCGCTGTCTTTGACGGCGACGTGCTGGAAGAAAATTGAAGTACCATAGGAGGCCATGTCGACGCGAGGATGGCTTTTCGCACCGAGAAGTCCCCGCGGTCCGCTCCAGGTCACAGGACGTCCTCCATCGTCACGACAGGTCACGAGGAATGAAGAATCATCCGTGGATTTGATCAGATTCGCATGGGACAGGTAGATCGCAGATGTCGACTTCGCTGCTGAAAGCACAAATACAAATATTAATAAATTTTGCTGCTGTTAATATAATAATGCCTTTATGGCCGGGGTGTGTAATGACGGCCTTAAACAATTTACTAGTGCGGAACTTTATATGGGAGCAAATACGGCTGAGAGGGGGATGGGAATGGATGAGAATAAACCCATCCGCAGCGAACATTGGTCCGACGAGGGGACGTTTTGTGTTCCGACGTTGGAAAATGCGATTCCGTCGTTGCCCTGAGAACCCCCAAAGAACACCGACCCATAGCCCCCTTTACGAGGAAACTCCCATACATTCGGGCCCACAATGAATGGGCTACGATAAGTGCAGCAATTAGGTCGATTGCCTAATATTCCCACTTCAAGATTTTCATCGCAACAAACATACAATAAATTACGAAATAAAAAAAATCTATACAAAATCAAACATTTATTATGTTTTTATTTATTACTAACATCTATTTATATTTTTGCCCTCTTAATATTCAAATATCCATGTTTTATGAAATACTCATTAAAAGCACGTTATTAACAATAATTATCTTCAAGTAATGTAAAATAAAAGTTTAAAATAATTGTATGTTTTGTAACGTAAATATAGTTTATGTAATTAAGAAAATGTGATGAATGACTATTATTGGTATAGTTAAAACCATTCGCCTTTTTCTAATATCTCACTCAAATAAAATTACGACGAAAGAAGCAGAAGTAAAAATAAAAGAATCTAAATGAAACACATTAATTTCAGAGTAATTGCTCCCAACATGGCAGTGTCTATTTCAGCGTTGCTTAATAAATTAAAACGGATTTTAGAAGGTTCATTCCGTTGGCGCAGTTACGAAAAGCAACTTAAGGTCGGAGAGGGCAAAGCAAATTGCAGATTGTCTCGGCTAAGTTCCGGGACAATCTTGTAAGGAAAGTCGTTGGTGGGCAACACGGAATTATCCTCAGATAAGGGCATCAGCATGAAATAAAAAGAGAACAGAAGAAACAGGAATGAGGAAATCTGGGCGAAGCCGCAGATGCGAATATTGGAAGCTTTTAATGAAATTATTTTGGGATCGTTATGAAATGTGGACGAAGGAATGCGGTGAATGCTTTGCAAATACGTTTCGACCACGGCCGATATCCGCCGAATACCTGTAGCAAAAATTCGAACTTTTCCAAGCCAAATTTTCCACCCACACTCATGTTTGCCTTATTGCCACCGTGGTCGAACGTAGTCATGCATGTTATGAAAAATTGTTCCGCTTTCAAATTTTCCAGTTTCAACCGCTTGTGCTTTTTCTTAATTAACTTCATTTTAAATTTGATTCATTAATGAATCACTAGCAAACTGTATCAAGTAGGAATATTATTATCACTGCTATTAGAATATTTAGTAATAAACTCCTATGGAAAATATAATATACCCATTCAAATAATATCTACATTACTAGTTGCTTAACTCTTGTATGCTGTCGAATATATAATCAATTCTAACTTGTGTGTGTGAAATTAAGATCAATTATGCACGTAATCCCAACTGAGGACATTCCATCGACGTATAAGTCAACAACAACAACGTTTCCCGATAATACCACAATTCTATTGAAACCCAGCCTTTGCATCATACAATTTATATAAGGCTAAATTAGACCAAATCATTACTAGGCACGTTCACACTAGAAAGAGTTTATTAAATTCAGGAATCAATAATATAACAAAACACTGGAGTTTCTCTCAAATTAATTTGTAATTAATAATGATAATTAGTGCATGGATATATGTAAAAATATCACCTTCAAAGTAAATATTGAGATTTTACTGCAATTATATTAATAATCAAATGAATTCAAAATTCTTTTGATGTTAATCAAAATATATGAAAGAGGCCATTATCTAAAATTATTTATTTAATGTATACGCTGTAACCACAGACTTTTAATTACAAACAATTTAAGCTTAATTAATTAAAGTTTTTTTTTATTTCAATGAGAGCTCATTTGTGGTTTATATGAATGGCGAAATGTACATGTTTAATTATTACAATGTAATTAAATGATTAAATATTAATAGTTCAATGACAACCAACTAAATATTGTAGATAATGTAGTAATATATTTTTTTTTATGTAATCAAATGTAAAAAGCTTTCAAATTTTAATCAATTTTATTTTCACTGTAGAACCGTACTCCATTGATTGTTGCGTGTTGTTCCCACTATGTAATCACGAAGATGCATTCGGTAATTGATTTATGGGCTATCCTCATTTAAATAATTTGATTACTGCGTACGTACAGCGGTGCACATTATGAATAAACATGTTTGCAAAATGGAAATATTCACTTAATTATATTGTTCAAGTATAATAGTTTATTTAATATGTTCAAATACATAATAAAAGAATGCAAAATATCTAGTTTATATAATTTATCAATTTTCACTAAAACCAAATTAGTTTTTAGCATATGACAAAGTGGATTGGGGTCAGTATACAGCAGATATTGATGACAAGTTACACAAATATTGAAGGGAACGCAGCAACACTGCATATTAATAATACTTGAGACCTCGTGATATATATTCACGTATGTAAATACTACAGAAAGTTTTATTACTTTATGGAGAACAGCACCTGATACTTTTTGCAAGAATCCAAGGATTTCGGTCCGGTGAAATACATTGTAAATATAATGATTTAATATTACATTCATAATTTATTGTTTTATACAATTCATAACTTAGTCTTATAAATTAGAACAAGATGATACAAATTAATGATATAATCACTGAAATATTATTGTAACAGTTACATTTTATTAGATAATAAAGAATAATAAAAATAATTAAAGTTATTTTAAACGTTTTTTTTGGTGTACATATATTGATATATGTCACAATTTATATCATGTCAAAGTTCGATAACATTCATTAAAAGTTCCGGCGTACAAATCACCAGTGCAAAATACAAACTGGCAGATAAACAAATATGAAATTTAATCTAAGGGGGTCACATCAATTTTAAAATTTAATGTTGGATAATATTTGCACTTATGATAAATTATGTAATTAACAAATAAAATAAAATTGAAGTAAGTGAGATTATTTTAAATCATATTTAAGTTTATAATAAAAAAAAAAAAATTATAAAACTAAGAAATAAACATCCAAATACGAAAACTATTATAGACTTTCTTAATCTCAAATTTTACCAAAGTTAATTATATAGTGTAACATTTTTTATTACAATAAATAACTATAGAAATAAAACTGTTACATGTTAAAATAAAATACATTTTTCTTCAATATTTATATATTATGTTAATAAAGTATAGATTAGAATTACCTTACAAATCATTTTATTCATATTAACTACTGTTTGTATGAAGTTGCAATGCACTACATAAAAGTGTAAAGCAGTTTCTCATTTTGACACATGGCTTTTCTGTGCTCATAACTAGTATATTAAAACATATTAATTAATAAATAAACAAAGAGGAATGCATAGTATAATTTGGATAATAATTTCGTGAGTGGTTAAATGGATTTTACGTACGATGTGACATGTATTTTTGGTAAAATGGATTTTGGGTACAAGCCTAATAGTAGCAATGTGTATAATGAACACTCGACAATATATGAATATTGAAGGAATTTCGAGTGAAACACGATTTTGTGAAATTCGTTTTAATTAACGTCATTAATAATTTTATTGACGTGTTTACTGTAAACGTTTAAATAGTAATCGTTTATTTAATTTATTGCTCGTCGAATAATGTTTGCAATAATGGATTCCATATGATTAATGCGCATAAAACAGAGTACAACTTGGTATTAATATTAACTGCGATGCCTAAAAGTCTGTTTTGCGTGCGAAAGAGATGGAATAATGGAACGGGGGTAGATGGATGTAGAGATTTTTTCTCGAAACAAAACACGCCACTCTGAATATTTCCGAGCGAGAAATAACACTCAATTTTTATTTTTATCGAGCTCGCAGAGGGATGACGCGAAATCTCTCTGTCTTTGGGTGCATGCCAGTGTCTAGGTATACGTACGTACACGTATCTATTGTGTTGTTTGCTTTTGAGATCGCCCCCAGAGCTTTCATTTTCTTTACACCGGTTTTAGTCTGCGAGTTATCTTGCGCTCGGGGCAAGTGGACCGTTTACTTGGCTTATATTGGGACTGCTATGACTCTCACATTATGCAAGAATTTTAAATTCGCTTTTCCGCACAGTTTCCTATAGATGATAGTGAGTTTGTATACGTATGTACAGACGAAGCTGGGGGAAATCTCTTGTGCGTTACAACTTCCTTAAGCTAATAACACTTAAACGCGAAAAGCTTAAAAGCAATATATCTTCCGGGGGACAAATGTCGCTGACATATATTTAATTTACTTGAGATGTTCTTAATGCGATCATCGCGAGTTTAACTGGCACTAATGTATTTATAGCCGGGAAAATTTTGATTGAAATGACGCAAAACCCCGGCCGCGAGTTTACTTTTATGTACAGCACCCTCCCATCCTGCAAAACCCGTTCAACTTTATTTGAATTACAACGGCACCAAACAAACACCGCCATCCATAAATCATGTAACCAAAAAAGTTTTCAATTCTAAGGCAGGCAACATTTACAAGAAACAAAAGCTATAGTTCGTTCATCACGATTTTCTTCGGAAAATTTTAACAAATTTACCCTGCATACAATCGTATTTAATATATAGTCTGCGCTTACTTAACGTTTATCTTTGTATATACATATCTATAATTATACGTACATTATTACTATTTCTGATTAACATTTATACTATATAATAATTTATTTATTATATATTAATGTATCTATTTTCAACAACGAAACTAAAATCTTCAAGAAAGAGTTTTTATTTATTTAGAAATTTATCGTCAATTATCCTATTTCTACCTCGAGTATTTATATAAAAAAAAAATTTAATTACAGTGGAACCTAGCTTAACAAGCATTTCGCTTAATGCTCAAGATGAGAAGAGA